CGTTTTCACTTATATTCAAATGACGTTTATGGTCAATTATTAGCTTGCTATTCAATTATTATTGTAAATGTTTTTATAATCTTATTGAATAAATCATATCCACCAGCTGGTGAGTTTGTGTGTTCAAAGAGCATTGTCTGCAATACAATCGAATGCCAAACAATGTTTCTTTAATAATGTCTTTCTACGCTTCTTAGAGAATATTTTATTGATTTGAATATATCATTGCAAAATATGACAAAATCCCACTCCGGGCCCGGCAAAAAATTACCGGGCCCGGGTGCCTCTTTACTCAAGAATTGAATATAGACAAGCTAATGAACGGCTTTTAAATTTAATACAAGATTATAGGTGGCTCTTTACTCAAGAATTGACTTACACAATGTGTTAATTATGTACATTTGATTGATTTTTTTAAATTTTATCCTCATTTTTTTACAAAAACCCATATATTTTTTATATTTTTCTAACATTTCAAATCAGTAATTTAGTAGACATAAAAATGCAGATTTTTTTCTTTGGTCGAAGTTTTGGTCGGACGAAGTTTTGTCTAGACGAAGTTTTTGTAATTCGAAGTTGTGGTAATTCGAAGTTTTGTCGTTCGAAGTTTTGTCTGGTCGGTGTTTTGTCATTCGAAGTTCTGCCCCTCACCCGTTTTTACCACTCATCATTTTATAATCATTTTATATTATTTTCCCATCCTTCACAGACCTTTCATATATTTAAATTACCGACATTGACCTTTTCCTTATCATCATTTTACTTTGTACTTTTCCACCCTTTTTCACCTGTAGATAAACACTAACTTATTTCCTTATTTTCGAACTCCTTACCGAGAGACCTCATTAGTGAGAGACCAATTCTTAGCCCTTTTCACCATTGACCATTTGCTTGTATGTTTATTTAGAAGGTAAATTTATATGTTATTATTATTTGGGTTTATCCTCAGTATAACTGAGAGTTGGATTCATAGGGATTATTGATATCCTGAGTAAATCTGAGAGGCAAATCCAATACACTTAATTATTTAGCTTTTTAGAGTAAAGCTTTGTCATAACAGAGGCAGGGGAGAAAAATGCATGAAAAATTATTTTTGCAAATGCCTTTTGCGAACATATAGGCAGCGAGCCTTCATAATATAGAAATTTCAAGCCGGGATAATTGCTTTAAATTTTAATAACTCGAGACTTCTTTTAAATTCGTTATCGAACTTTCAGGTTGTAGGCGAGTTATTTTTCAATATATTTTTCCTTAATCAAAAGTTTGTTAAAGATTTTTATTAGACATGCACTTTCCTTTGTCGGCAAATATTAATCAATGGGGAAAAGCAAGAGCATGTTTGCTTGCAATACCTCATTTCAAAATTTTTTAAATATACAATAATTGCTAGAGAAATAGAGCAACGATACTTAAAGGATGTCTGTGTAGGGGACTGGGACATAAGGGTGCCGCCACTGGGGAGCGTGCCATTAGGGCGCCGCCACTAGGGAGCGGGCCATTAGGGCGCGGGCCGTTAGGGCGCGGGGGTTGTTTGGGCGCGTATATAAAATTTTTTAAACAGTTCCAGATATGGTGTTCCAAACACTTGGGAATCAAAAAATATTTTTTTCCAAATCAAATAATATTTGCCGGGTCCAGCACGAGTCGTAAACCACACACAAACCAAAAAGAATTATTTTTCTCTTTTAAAAAAGCTTGAATCAGCTTGCCGAGATGAATCAAATGTATGGGTCTTATGTCGGAACTAAAACTCCGGTATACTAAACTAAAGCTGCTATTTTAAATAAATTTTAGCTCTCCTTCAACTAACGCTAGAATATCCCTCATAATATCCATTTAAATTTTTGTAAATGTAAATATTTGTTTATTTAGCCGACAAATTAAAATTAAACACGTTCGAATACACCTAATGTGATTACGGACGATATCATGGGATGTGGAGTGATATTGAGGCATTATCCATATTCCTCTACATGGGATGTGGAGGTTTACCTCAACAAATCCCTCTTAATTTCCAAGTAGATTAACGGCAATAGAATCACCTTTTTTGATTTAAAATATTTTTCAGTGTTGGATCATTTATGACGCTAATCAAAATGTACGATGATGGCAACTATCATTTTTGGATTTTTCTTTTTCATTTAAATTTTTGTGTGTTTAATTAGCTGTTTTGAATAAATTGGAGTTTTTTAAATAAAAAACTTATTTATTAAATAAAATATTCATTCACAGAAAGATGAGAGAGAAGTTTTGTGTTTAGCTAAATTGATTAAATCCAATCATTCAAGTTAACTTTCTCTAGTCAATTTTTGTTTAGAAAATTTATTTGTTTATTCAGCCGATAATTTTACGAGCCAAAACGTATCTTAAATACGTTCTTATACACCTAAATTATTCAAATGATTTTTTAAATTTTAGTTACTAACAATCTTACCAAAAAAAATTTTTTATATTTAATAAAATATGAATAATTATAATACTTATTCATGTAATATTAATTATTTCAAAAGCTAATGGAGCCGTGTTTCTTTTTTTGTTAAGTTAAATAAAATAAAAATTATTTTTCCCTAAAAAAATTTTCTGTTTTAATTAACCCGTTTATTTCAATTTTTATAAAAATATCCTTAAAAGCCTGATAATAAGCATTTATCTACTTTATTTTAATAGAAAAATACCAATTAATTTTAAAAATGGAAGGAAATTTTATAAAAAAATGCAAAATTTGTGGGTCAAAAGAAAATGTTTATTTTCATTATGGTGTTTGTACATGTAGGGCTTGTGGGGCTTTTTTCAGGTAATTTTTATTTTGTTTAATTTAAAAAAAATTGGTAAAATTGCGTCACAAATCCCATGCTCTGGTTTGGACAAATAATATTTCAATAAAAAAATAGCTTTTCGAGTAACATATCGGCAGTGAGGGAAAGTTCCAGTTCCGGAATTAAAACTATGGAACCGGCAAAGGTCTGGAACCGGTTTCGGCACCAGTTCCTAAGACACACCACTAATGATGGGGTAAATATGAGAATGAGCAAAAGATGGGAATCGTGAGAAGAAAAGGAAGAAATCTTACTAGTGGCTTTCCGAAACTCACATAATTCGCCTGCTGAACTAATTGAGTGAGTCCTGTTCAACATGACAATATCCTACTTCGGCTTCGGATCTAGAATTTGATTTGTATTGGGGTAGGAGATGACAAAATGCCGAAAGGCAAAACCTCACGAATCTCTTTTCACTTCTTATGCTACTGCTACTGCTTCGGTTCGATTCGGTTTCTATTATTTGCCAAAATTCTATTGTTTGCCGGTTTCTAGTGTTTGCCAGATTTTGGCAAACTAAAAACTGTCCTCTCGAAACCTCACTATTGTTTACCAAAATCAGTGTATGGGAGATATGACGGAATTTTTTCAAAATTACTTTTTAAAAGGCGCTATCTTGATAACAAAAATCAATGGAAATATAATTTATGTACATGTTCAGAAGAAAATACAGACGCAAAATCCGAACAAGATTTGGCAAAATGTAAAAAATGTAGACTTGAAAAATGTTTTTCTGTTGGAATGAAAAAATTGGGTTTGTCAAAATAAGAGTAAAAAACCTCAGCCTCTCGAAGCCTCAGCTGATCGGATTATCGGTTTCCGTTAACCAATCTCTTATATCTGCCTTTATCCCTCCAAATTACTGATAAATTAATGGCCTAATCAGTGTTAATCCATAAAATCCCCCGTTAACCCTCCAAATCTCCATTACACTGTTAATCACTTCTAATCTTTTGTATTCATCATGGTGATATAACTGAGGTATAAACAACGGACGGGAAATACTGTATTCAATGTTTAAAAATAATTTTAGATGCTGGATATTTACGTCATGATGATATAAGCCGGGAAGCGATGGAAGAACAAAAAAATGAAATTAAAGTGAATTTATTTATTTTATACAGGAATTGGAAGACACTTTTAGTGCAAACTAGGGTTGATAAAAACTTTGTAAATCGAATATTGAAAAAGTTCTAAATATGAAAAACGAAAGAAAAGCATTGAATTATCTTTAGCAACATAAAATCTACGAAGATGTATAACTAATTTCAAAATTTTCCATAGCCCTTACAATAAGTTGAATACTAAAAAGGAACAAAAACAAAACATAATAATAAATTATAAATTAAAATTCTCGTTATTTTTAAGATACTAAATTCCCCAACTGTCGACATAACCACAAAAGACGAAAAACTGATAGACTCGATTTTACCAATTATTGAAGCCAAAAAACGTATAATGCATGGATTTGCTGATTTGGATGATATATTCCTTAAAGGCCCGATTTTGTTTGAAGAAATAATTTTATCTAATTTTAATATTTTTCGTTTAACTGACACATTTTCGGTAAATTTTTTCATTAATTTTGAAAATATTTTAATTTTGAAGCCAAATCCGAGTCCAATACCTTTTGATGAAGTAAAAAGTTGGGAATCTTCATATCAAAATGAAGGAGTATTTAATAGTAGAAGTCAAAAATGGATGTATGTTGACAGACTTCTGTGCTTTGGTATAGCTAAATCTATGCCTGTCTTTGAAAAATTGACTTTATCTGATCAGGTATATATAATCTACATACATGAAGGAGCATAATAATTTATTACAGAGTCCCGCTTTAATCCCTTCCTCCCATATGATATTGTTATTAAATTGCTCCTAATTAAACTCTTAGAGTCAGTTTCGCTAACTTTCTGTTATAAAGGGTGTACTAAGACGGAATTTAAGACAAATCGATCCGACCCCGACCCCATACCTACCCGAACGATTTTTTCAGTTCCCCGCCCGAAATATTTCAAAAACCCAAAACACTGACACAAGCGTCCCCGAGATTTCAGTGTCCAACTTTAATAAGAAAAACTCGATCAATCTAAAATTTAATTTTCTTTTTATAAATAGATTGCACATCTAAGACAGATTTGTAATTTGTTTACTTCATTTACAAGCACCTACATAGCTTGGGAATTAGGCTTTGAAACTTGGACACGTAAAGATTGTCTTATGCCAGCTCTTGCTATTATGAATCATTCTGTATATGACGATAAGTAAATAAATTGTTCTAAAAATTCGAAACACTTTTTTTAAATTTTTAGAATGATTAAATTATCAGATTATGTATATACAAAATCTGTTGTTCACTTCAAACGATTTGCTTTAACAAAAATTGAATATGCTTTATTAGTAGCTATTATCCTTACAAAATCGGGTAAAAGTTTAATTTGTAAAAGCTAGCTAAAAATTGCTTGCAAGCTTATAATTTAAATTTGGGCTCTCCAATTTTTCTTTTAGCTGGTCGATGGTTGACTTGAAAAAATCATAAAATTCGCGAGTAGTTTTGTCAGAATTATTTTGTCTCAGATACACTTTTTTTAATTTAATTAAAATTAACTTTAAATATTTCAAAAAGATGCGAAAGGCTTGTCTCCCAAAGGAAAAGAAGTACTTTATAACGAATCTGTTAAATTTACAAAAATTTTACTTCGATATAATCAACGAAGATTAGGTGTAATTGAAGGGGCTCAAAGATTTGATGAATGTTGTCGTTTAATTAATCGAAGTATTGAAAATGAATATGCTTTTCGTTTATTGGTCTCTCAGCAACTTAAACGTTTTTCAATGAATATTGAATATTTAAAATGTTCAAAATTTTATAAAAAATTTTTGGAAAGAAGTGATTAAAATCGAGGCCGAGTTCTGGTAAATGTCCAGCTCGTACTCACACACCTGATACACCTGAAAAATACACCTGATCTACTACAAATATATCTGAGAACTTTATCAGAGATTTATATACTTTAGAATTTTTATTTATTTGTAAATAAACCCTTTCATGTTTACTCCCTTTATTATTCGCCCCAAACTGTCCACCTATCAGTTGATTACTTGAGAAAAATTATGGCAGAGAGAGGAAAGGAGAAAAATGCAGCAAAAATGCATTTCTGCAGAAAGTCATTTGCGGACTTGTTGAGGCGAGCTGGACATTTACGCCGAGTTCCTTACTTATTTTCGAGACTCGGTCTTTATCATACCTTTACATATTAATGCATTTTATTTATGTATATCACAAATAATAAAAAATTTAAATAAAGGAATAAATATTAGACATATCTTTTGTAATAATTTTACTATTATTTTACCGTATTTATTCTAATATAAGCCCTGATCTTATATTTCACAATGGGTATTCTCAGATGGGCTTATATTAGAGGTGGACTTATAATAGAAGTAAGCCACCTCTAATATACCCGTTATGTTGCCGACCAAAACTATCGCTAATGACTGATATTATACTAGACCCACACATAACTAACATTAAAAACAATTAAAAATATTTCTTTATTCAATTATTGTGGATGAATTTTAAAACGATTAAAAACAGCATTTCTATATGGTGTGTTTGTTAAAATACAAATAATTGGGTTAAATACAGGTGTAAAATGAAGAAAATTGTAACTTAATATTCGAACAATGTTTGTTGTATCGCTGCTTGCATGTGTAAGAATTAATTTAGATAAGCTTCCTGCTTGGTTAATAAATGGTACGACAGCCTAAAAATTTAATATAAGAATAGTTGATATTTTTTCATGGAGACTAACCAAAAGAATCAAAACTTTTGTTAAAAGATTATTTAATCTTTTTAAATTTCCATCAAAATTAGTGTTTGAATTGACATATCTAACCATTTTGAATCCAAAAACAATTATTATTACATATGAAATTATTTCAATTAAATACATAGGTAAACTATTAAAAGTTGTAAACTATAAAATATTAAATATGATTTAAGATCACATTAAAATTAATAATTACAGAATCCGTCTTATATTGAAGATATGGCCATGTTGTGTTATAATTAGCAAAATATTTAATACTTCCAAAAGAATATGGCATATTAATAATAACCAAATCAAACATATAGAATAAATTTACAAGTAAACAAATTGATAACATAAATAAATAACGACAAAAATTAATTTTCATATTTCTAATATAATATTTATTTGAGAATAAAATTTTATTTTTATTTATATTCATTTACCTGTTCAAAACTAGATATCGATAAATAAATTGAACACACAATCCATGTATGTTTAAATTTATAAGATATGCCCAAACTATTCCTACAAGATAACATATGATTGGCTTAAAATCATCTTTCATTATAGCAGGCAAAATTCCATTAGGAAGTACCAAAACTGTATTTCCTTCTGTATCAGTTAAGTAAAACTAAATAAATTAAAGCTGTAAGGATCTTTCGATTATATTCAATTAAGGTTGGATATATGAGTCAAGACATCTTTTTAGGAGAGGAGTGAATTTACCCCCCATGCAACGTGTCCGAACAATGCGCAGTTGTCTTAGTCTGGCATGACATTTAAATGATCACTTGATCACTAACTCAGCTTTCGTTAATATTAGTCTCATTCGTATCAGCAAATTACTGATAAATAATTAATGATATTTAGATATAATAGGGAGGGATAAGAACGAAATAAACGATTAAAGTAAATTATGTTAAAGTAAATTACGATTAAGGTGCACACGACGTAGTAAATTTGAGTAAACCCAAGTAAAATTTTTCGATTTATTAGAAATAACGGTTTCTTATAGCAAATTAAAAGGGCTTTCAGAAAAGTGTAAAATAAAATTTTAATTTAGTCTATAAGGGGTCGAAAATATTTTTTTAAGACGTTCACCCCCCTGTTTTCCGTTAATTTTCAGGTTTCTAGATCTCGATGCTGGAAGTATATTTGAACTTCGTTTCTTTTGTATTTTCTATCTATATCAATAGAGATGCTACAGGAATTTTTATAGATTTTTCAGACCACTCCTAATCTCAAATATTTAAAATGTGCCATCTTTTTGTTACACTGCTAAAACGGTTATTATTTTATAAAAAAATTCAGGAAAAAAATTTTTCCGCGCGGTTTAGCTTATCTTTATCTTAGTCATGAAAACTATTTACAAAAAAATTTTCAGTCGAAATGGACCCTTTTCCATTGAGTTATATCGAAAAAACATGATGTGCCATCTTTTTGTTACGCAGTATATATATCTGGTTATAAATATTTTAAATTATTTAATTACCCCTTCAACAAACAATTGACAAATCAACATTAAAATATCAAGAACACAATTTTGTATCAGAATTCGACTGTGTATTTTCATTTCTTTTGGTGTTTTAAAAATAATTAGAATGATCAGAATAATATTTAAAGGAAAACCAAGTAATAAACAAACAAAATAATCTAATTTAAATAAAATATCAATTAAATCAGAAGCCATTTTGTTAATGTATTTTTTTTCTAAAAGTTACAGAAATAATTAATTTTAATATTTTTTATTAAAAAGTTTCACACCAATAGTTTTTAGATACAAAAAATGTTTGTGAGAGAATCTTGTTTATTATTTATTTAATAGTCTGGTTTATTATTTTTAATTGTCTGGAAAATTTAGTCTAAGAAAATTAGTTAATTGAAAAGTACACCTGTACTTTTAGCTAAATAATGAAAATATTTTATAATAGATCTATAGATAATAGTAGATTTTAATAGACACAAGCTTCTACAATCAAAACCTAAGTCAGATGGGTTATTCACAATAATATAAGCAATTGAGGACAAATCTATGTCGTTTAGCAATTCGGAAATGCCACGTCATCAGATGTTCTTTGTGTTCTAACACATTTCATTTTTTGTAAACATTTTTGCTAAATATCAAAAATCAACTGAACATCTTTCTCAAGAAAGAAAGTATTTACAAAAGTAAATCAATTCTAAGGAAAGTTGCAGATTTTGAGCCGAAGTCAATAAGGATTCAGAGAAATTAAGAGGGATACTGGGGATTTTGAGGATATTGGAAATAATAGGTCATTTAGAAGATATAGTAATAGCTTCATTGTAAAAAGCGTAAGTGAGAGGGATTGATTTGGTCCACAGAATTGAAAATACTAGTCAAATCGTGGACTCCGGCACAGAAAGAGTTCCAAAAGGAAAATTTGGGAAGGGATATTTTCGGTAAATGCATATGTGATTGGGTGGGTTGATTAGTATCGGGCAGAGCGGAAATTAAGATTTGTCGCAAGGAACGGAGATTTTAAAAGTATTTTTTCAATTGAAATAATTTACCTAAATAAGGGGTGGTGGTAACAAAATTTTCATAAATGTGTGTGTCGGCGGTCCTTTCCGCTCCGGTCATGTTTGTTCTGACCGACGTCCATCTTTCGTGTATGGTGGAAGTATCTGAAATGGCTTCTGAAACATATTCGAGCTCAATTTCTAATGTGCTCAACAATTTCAGAGTGTCGGAATGAAATTGGGATTAACTTACATTATCTGGTGGAAGTGGGTTCCGCAGAACGCAAACAAATTGGGAAGTCAGAAAACGGTGTCGATGTCACCGGCTGAGCTTTAGCGTTTCGGCTCAAAAACGCAAATTAAAAATACTCAAAAATATAAAATTTATTTTCTTTTAATTATATTTACAAGTGATTAAAAAGCGAGCGAAAAAATTGGATGGAAAATATTTTTTATTTAACAATGAAGGTGAATTTTTTTTAAATTTGTTGATCCGAGACCCTTTAGGTAATAACCCTTTAGGTAAATGATTAAGAAGAGAAGTCTAAGACTGTTATCCTGGATAAAGAATGTTTGGGAAATTTTTCTAATTATGACTAATTATTATTTAAAAATATTTTAATTTATTTTTAAACTCGCGTTGGGAAACGCGACATTTCTACGCTTCTTAGAGAGTATTTAAATGATTTGAATTTATCCTTGCAAAATATGACAATTTTCTTTGTTATTTAGCGCATTTTATAATCTAGTTTTCTCGCTATCAAGTAATTCTCAAGTTTAAATAATTTAAAAATCACAGAGAAAATATTTTAAAATGATAAAAAATTTAAATAGAAAGATTTTATTAAAAAATTTAGACTCTTCCACAAGGTGCGGCATAAGTAATTGGACACATGCTTTCTCTCATAACTTTATTAAAACACAATCCTATTAAATTATTCGATTCTAAAAGAATATTTTCCTATTTTTAAACAAATTTGCATTTTTACCTTCTTTGTCTTTGCGTTTACCGCAAATTGTTAAATTATATAAATTAAAAATTAAGAAAAGAAAAATCACAAAATTGGATAACTTTATCTCTTAAAAATTAAAAATAATTTTTCAAGATTTTAAAGAATAAATGCTGTTTTGGTAGTGGGAATTTAACCAAAAATT